TATTATTATTATTATTATTATTATTATTATTATTATTATTATTATTATTATTATTATTATTATTATTATTATTATTATTATTATTATTATTATTATGTCCGCCAACAAGGGAAGAAAGTAAATTGTTTCACCCCTGTCTGTTGTTCTGACTGTTAGGAAGATTACGCAAAAACTAAGGAATCATCATAAAATATTGGAACAGTACGTCATAATAAACTAAGAGATGATTAACTACCGAAAGTCATCCTGTCAAAAGACAGGGTCAAGTTTCCCATCACACACAGCATTAGCGTGATTGTTCGGTAATCCAGGTACAGGGCGGGGGTATAAACTCAGTTCTAGTTATTTTAATGAACGTAACTTTTAAAAAATATCATAATGGAAGGTTAATATAATACCCAATAAATATCATTTTAAACAAAATGAAATCACATTGCCACAACATCCAAAAGACAAAAGCTGGCAACTCCTGACGCAAATCCAGTATTGTCTATTACATCACGACAATAACAATTACTATTAAAAAAAAAACAATTACTTTTAATTTCATCTCAAGTCAAACAATGAAAAACTGATCCATTTCATTTGTGCATAATATTCACAAACAAAACTTTTCTCAGCGGCAAATTTCGTTTAACATTTTATCTTCATTTTAAAAGCTAATTTTTGAATAGCGTATTTAAAAGACTAGGGGAAAAAGTTTTTAAATATTCAAAAATCTGCAGGCCTATCTCATTAACAGTTCCCGAGTTTTTCATCAAACACTATTTTTGTGTCTTTGATCTTCGGGACTGAAGAAATTAGGGGTTAAAAGTTGTAAAAAAAACCAAACATCACTCCACTGATGAAGGAACTCTTTTTCACTTGTCACTGTTTTGTATTTAGGGAGTAATGACGAAATTAGTTTAGCCTTTTAAAATTCGTTCTTTAAAATTAAAAAGTGGTCAAACAACGTAACAGAATTGACAAGTGACTTGGTTCATTGTAAGGGCAAACAAACCACGTCGTTGTCAGTTAGAACGACCCATGTTTGAATTTCGAAGATTGTTGGCAACGCCAAACTACTGCTACTCCGGACCACATGATACATTTTTAGTGTTTGATTGAGTTCTATATAATGTACAGTTATTCAATGATCACTGGCTACCTGGTGTTGTATTAGCAAAAACAAATCACTGATGTATTTAAAAATCTCAATATTAAAGCAATTATTGTAATAATATTTAGCTGAGAGTGTTTAATTTAAACTAAATACATACCAGTTGGCATAAAATAATCTTTTTCATTCAGTTCTGAACTACCGTAACTTTTAATAATAAATACCGGTATTCAATAGTGTATCCTGAACGTCGACATCCGTTCATTAAATTATTTTTTTTTTTGGACGTAGGCCTACTGTACATATCTGTTTCGTTTAGTACGGCTCTGGTTTATAGTATAGAGTTCCTACTATAGGAAATCTAGATTAGCAACGAAAGAAGCACCCTATTTTGTAGAAAATATCTTATTAGTACAGTAGAACCCCAAGGGGACACCTTCGAGACTAAAAAAGTGTCCCTTAATAGGGGTGTCTGCTGAATAGGGGTGTCCCTATTCAGTCTGCTGAATAGGGAATATTAACCGAAAGCGTGAAATTTCCCCCTTAATAGGGGGTTTTTGGCATGTTTTCATACAAAGATGACATATTCTTTATGATTTAATTTTACTGACATAAGAATCAATAGTTCTAGAATTAGAACTAATTTATAGCAATGCAAATATACAAATTATTTATAATACGAAATCAGCAGAAATTTATAAAGCAACAATAGGTTTATATTTTCCCAACATTATGTCATAATGCAATGTTAATGACTAAATATGCTTTTCTATTGGATGTAGGCCCTATGTGAGTGTGTGAGAGAGTTATCTCTGACATTTCTCTATGCTCTGACACGGTGTCCTACCACCGAAGTGGCACCACTTATTCTCTAAATTTCGTTCGACAACTATAGGAGGGTTTATTTTTTTTCTGTAAGATCCAAATAGAACAGGGCCACATTAGTGCAGACAGGCCCGTACGCATGGGGTGCGTACACACACCCCTCCCCCCCCCCAAAGGTCCAAATTGAGATGGGGGGAAATTCAAGACCGTACTCATTCCAGAAATCCATCCACCAAACCTCTTGACCAATCAGAGCAGTTTGCAATCAATACTATGAATAATTTCATAATTTGGAAGGATATACCGTATCTCACGAAATGTACCAATAGGATTCAACAGATTCTAATTTCTCGGCTAGATCCCAAAAAATCAAGATTCCAATTGTTCAAGAGATTATAGTATTCGGCTATAAATTGGCATAGGTCTGGGCTGTCTAGTGTTAAATAATAATATAGGCTTATATACATTGCAACACCCACCCATACACCCAAGGGCGTCGATCCGTGGTTGTAAGTGTGGGGGGGGCCGAATTGCAAAATAAGTCTTGGGCCATACGCACAAGCCTTGGCCTTGACTGGGGGGCCAGGGGCCGCCTAGGGACACCGTGGTGAGGTTCACCACGAAGCCCCAAAAGCTCTGGCGTCTATAGCCTTTTATAAGTCGTATCTAATTCATCTTAAAGA